ACAGTATTTTTCAATGAAGGGTATGAATTACTACAGATTATTAATTACTACTCAAAAACACACTGAAATACCTTCAGCATGTGAAATGTGAAAGTCAAATTTTAAATATCACACAAAAAGATGTTTAATGTCGAAGATATAACAAAAAAATGAGGACACAAAAATTCAAGATTAATTTCTCATAATATTACTGTGTTCTATTGTATTGCAGCGACCGAAATAAAATCAACATCTGCCGGAAAATTACATACACAGACTGGACACAGCTGTATTCTAACATCATTTATACTTATTTATGCAACAACTTGACATTTAATTTATGTAATAGATGCAAATGTATATAACATAGATTTGGTAAAAAATTGTACTTTTACAGTTTCATAAACTAGATGTATTTCTGAGAAGTAGACAAAATTGTTAACCAATGGCTGAATTATTAAAGTTTTTAATGAAACCTAAAACATGTTCTAGAGACTTAAATTACATACTTCCGTAACTGTATAAGTTCTTATGGAAACTTGAAAAAAAAATCTAAATAGGAAAAATATATAAATTTTGAGTGTGTTGTCATTGAAGATACATATTTTGAGTTCACTGGAATATAATCATGAAGGGCTAGGCTGAAAAGGCCTTGCAAAAAGTATGGAATAGGTATGATTAGTTAATTTTACCGATGAAAAATTTTGCTACATCAGTCAAATATATTTCATATTTGTTAAAAATAAATATTTCTTTGCAAGTGAACAACTAGTCTAATCCCACATGTAATCCCACCACTGAATGACAGGAGAATGATGCATGACTATCAGTCTTAATGTGCAAGATCAATTGTCAAGGTATAATTAATATGCCTCACCTGATTAATGAACCAGTAATGAACCATTATTTCTTGGATTACATACTGGGTGCTTTCCCTTTTGAGCTAAGTGGGTGGATGATGATATTGGACATGAATATTTGCAATCATAATAAATTATGGTAAAAAATACAGCCCACTAGACTGCTTGCTTATAAGATTGTTTTTTTTTGTTAGTTTTTTTCCTCTAAATTATAATGTTTTTTAATATGCAATTTGTAGGAATAGTTGGAGGTTTCAGCAAAAAAAAAAGTAGGAAAAAGATGAAAAAGGAAGAAAAAAAGGAAGTAGGAAAAAGATGAAAAAGGAGGAAAAAAGGAGGAAAGTATAAAAAAGAAATTGTAGAAAAAAATGAGGACCAGTTGAATGCCTGGATAATCACTCTTCTATAATGAAACAGAAATGTGAAAAATATCATGGAAGACAATGTATAAACACCCCAAAGGTTATATCTGGAATCCGATCATTTTTTGTATCAAAATTTCATTTTCAAAATGTACTTTTTATTTCAATATGCAGTGATATCTGATTATGTATTAACTTATCTTAATATTGTAATAATTGTATAAAATTGCAATATTCTGTGAATTCTACAATAACTTTAATAATGGCAAACTAGAACTATCACTAAATGTGATTAATACCCCCACAAGTCTGCTTTGGAAATGAGGATGTTACTAGTAACAGAATACCTTGTAATAGAATTGAAACATAGAGTTATGGTTGTGGGCAATTAAAGATAATTGTGGTTCATGTATGTTGCATTTCCTTTCAATGCGGTTGGCCATTGATGAAGTTTAATTGAATTACTCTGTAATAAGTCCAGAAAGACAAAGAAAAAGAACAAAGGGCAATAACTCTATAAATACTGAAGATAGAGTTATAGTTCTTGTGCACTGCACTTCCTCTTATTGTTCTTGACCATTGTATGAAGTTGTTTTGAATTCCAACCAGTATGTTTTAAGTTATGCTCCGGACAAGGAAAAGTATCAAAGGGCAGTAACTCTGTATTTTGTCAAAATGGAGTTATGGCTCTTGTGCACTGCACTTCCTTTTAATGTCCTTGACAACTGTATGAAGTTGTACTGAATTCCAAACAGTAGTTTTCAAATTATGCTCTGGACAAGGAAAAGTAACAAAGGGCAATAACTCTGTAATTAGTCAAGATGGAGTTATGGTTCTTGTGCACTGCACTTCCCCTTATTGTGCTTGACCATTGTATGAAGTTGTTTTGAATTCCAACCAGTAGTTTTCAAGTCCTGCTCTGGACAAGGAAAAGTAACAAAGGGCAGTAACTCTGTAATTAGTCAAGATGGAGTTATGGTTCTTATGCACTGCACTTCCTCTCAATGTACTTGACCATTGTATGAAGTTATAATGAATTCCAACAATAAGTCTTCAAGTTATGGTCCGGACAAAAGAAAGCAATGGAAAAGTAACAAAGGGCAATAACTCTGTAATAAGTCAAGATGGAGTTATGGTTCTTATGCACTGCACTTCCTCTCAATGTGCTTGACCATTGTATGAAGTTATAATGAATTGCAACAATTAGTCTTCAAGTTATGGTTCGGACAAAAGAAAGCAATGGAAAAGTAATAAAGGGCAATAACTCTGTAATTACTTTAGATAGAGTTATGGTTCTTTCGCACTGCACTTCTTCTCAATGTGCTTGACCATTGTATGTAGTTATATTGAATTCCAACCATTAGTCTTCAAGTTATGGTCCGGACAAAAAAAAGAAGGCAATGGAAAAGCAACAAAGGGCAATAACTCTGTAATTACTTTAGATAGAGTTATGGTTCTTGTGCACTGCACTTCCCCTTATTGTGTTTGTCAATTGTATGAAGTTGTTTTGAATTCCAACCAGTAATTTTCAAGTTGTGCCACGGACAAGGAAAAGTAACAAAGGGCAATAACTCTGTAATTAGTCAAGATAGAGTTATGTTTCTTATGCACTGCACTTCCTCTCAATGTGCTTGACCATTGTATGTAGTTATATTGAATTCCAACCATTTGTCTTCAAGTTATGCTCCGGACAAGGAAAATGCAACGGACAAAAAAAAAGCAATGGAAAAGCAACATAGGGCAATAACTCTGTAATAACTTTAGATAGAGTTATGGTTCTTGTGCACTGCACTTCCCCTTATTGTGTTTGACAATTGTATGAAGTTGTTTTGAATTCCAACCAGTAGTTTTCAAGTTATGCCCCGGACAAGGAAAAGTAACAAAGGGCAATAACTCTGTAATTAGTCGAGATAGAGTTATGGTTCTTGTGCACTGCACTTCCTCTCAATGTGCTTGACCATTGTATGTAGTTATATTGAATTCCAACTATTAGTTTTCAAGTTATGCTCCGGACAAGGAAAATGCAACGGACGTCTGGACCGACCGACCGACCGACCGACCACCGGGTGACTACTATATACCCCCCCCAAACTTCGTTTTTGGGGGTATAAATATTTGAAGAATAAATAAATGACATTCCTGCACAAATGTGTCTGGTGAATCCTAGTGCATTCAGTAATATTAAATTTTATAACACGTTATTAAACTATAAATTCATTGTGTAATTAATTTCTGGAACAGACTGACATCAGGTACAAAAAAAAACCACTTATTCCAATTTTGTTTTTATGTGCTTATCATTTTTTAGCTCGCCTGTTTCGATGACCAGCTTTTATCATCGCTACGATATTGATGTGCAAAATCTTTGATTTAGCTCATTATTCAAACATTTCACAAAGTATCAACAGAAAGAGAGCTTGAAATACTTGCTGATCAATGTGTAGTTGTTAGACAAGGGGCATAATTCTTAAAGCAATATTTCTCGAGTTATGTTCCTCTATAACTAAGGATTTTAACAGATGAGCATTAAAACTGCAAGGAAGTGCTCTTGTTTATTAAATGTTTTCATGTAATAATTCATTTTCCTTATTTAATTAACAGACTTTGCCACAAGTACTATTGAAATGATTTATGAAAATGACAACTTATCCAATATTTTGTCAGTAATAATGAATATTGCACCAAAATAAACCAGAATGGGTACATTAACAGTCAGTAAATGATTAATTCCAGGCAAATTTACATATTATTAAATCTGCAATATGCCTATTAAATCAAAAAGAAGAAAACACCAAATAGAGTTAAATTTGTAGGAAATCTTATAAAATGTATGGGAAAATAATTGATAATTCTAGTAATGATAATTTAGTGACATGCAAAAGTGCAGTAATTTCTTCTTTGGTTATTGTAAAAACTAACCATTTCTCATTGGATGGTATTAAACACTTTATTTATACAGGAAAGTGGGTTTATAAAATGTTTTTATATGCAGTATTATAGGGCTATAAAATATTCAATCTAAAGTTTTAAATTAGCTATTGACCACACTTTTGTATTAATCCATAGGCAATAAGCTACAAGAAAACAATAACCATGATATATAAACAGGTAAAGTAATCAGGTAGAATTTGCCTAAGTATCATTTAAAATATACATTTAAAAAATGAAATGAAATGAAAGTGTCCAAATGCTCTTACCTAAAGTCTAAAATTAACACACACAAAAATCAGTTTTAGATTTAAATCTAAGTATACTTCTTTAGGCTATTTTTTCATCACAAGTGCCCCTGTTACTTTAATTGCAAGAAATTCAAATGTTCTTGTTGTTTGGCTTTTTGACCACAGTGGAGCTCCTTATTTTTCAACAAAATACAAATAGCAGCTACAGGTAACCACTGATTCACATACATGCATACATTATATCAAAATATGATAATTCTTTCAAAAGTGATAAAAAAAAAATCATGCAAATATTGAGATATAACAAAAAAGATATGTTATAAAAAGTGGTGAAGAAAACATATACATGCAAAAAATGTGCAAAGAAATTGTACAATAAGAAATTTTCAAAAAACTTTCAGCTTCAAATAAAAATTTGACTTAAACAGTAAATCTCATGTTTACCTCTTAAGTGGGGGTCAGGGGGCTGGGGTGGTGGATTTACATGATTACTGAGGTCATATGGCCTCTTGGTAGCTGAACCAGTCTAAGAATAGAAATATGTAAGAACCCCATGACCATGTAAACTATGTCAGGCAAAAATTGAGGGGTTTTTGGTACAAATTAGTTCAATACCCCCCCCCCACACACACACACACATGAAAACAAGATACAGATTTGTGAAAAAATATCTAACTCTACAAAACATATAAATGAGAGTAAGCTATACATAAGGTATAGTATAATTTGGCATTTAAGGGACAGTTGCGAGCTATATGACAAGATCAATATTATAATGCCAAATCTAACACTTTCTCAAACAATCATTACATATAACCCAGGTATATATTGCAAAATAGTAAAATAATATATAAATAAGATGTAAAGTGACTAGAAATACCCAAATTCACAGTAAAACACTTAAATGTTCAACAAACACCCACAATCACATTAATAGAAATTTAATGAAGCTTTTTTTAAAATAACCTTTCATGCTGTTTTCCGTCTGTATTTCTTGATTTGTTTTCTTTCTTTGCCTAAATTTTCTTTTTCAATTACCAGTATGATGTTTATACCATATCTCCACCCTCTTTATATTAAAAAACAGTACACAGACCTCTCTAAAGTTAAATTCAAGCCTTATGTACGCATTAATACTGATAATTTAATAGAAAAAATGTCAACTCTTCTTTTTTTTAAGTCCAACAGAACAATATTTAGTCTAGTATTTTACAGGAATCATTTCGTTTGTTTTATTTAAAATGACAGACAGGGGTCATAACTCATCCTGTTGTCTGTTAGAGGATCCTAAATGATCTCCTTTTTGGTGATCACCTATACCATCGGCAGTTGGAGATCTTTGGGGTTCTTCTGCACTGTTGTGGTTAGTTTTTTCTGTGATCAGCTCAGACCATTCTGTGTCAGATATATAGTGAGCTTCACCCAAGTAATGGGTGGGGTAAATCAACAAAGGCTCAGCAGACAGAGCAATCAGATCTCGTGGATGGAATGGCTCTTTCCAAGACTCCCTGAAAACAACAAACATAACTCTTATACTTTACAATACAAATATATCTTAACCAATATTCCCTTAACATGCTGAATTACTTACATAAAATGTGTTCACTGTGCCATTTTGTAAACATAGAGGTTTATTCCTATGGATACTTACAGACTTTTCCTTTGGGCCACATGAGTAATTAAACATTCATGTAAAGAAAGCTATAAAAACTGAAAGGAATTATGGCAAAATATAAACTTAATTTGATTTTCACCTGCTCACTCACTATATCACTTAGATGCGCACAATGTGACTTAAAGAATCACATTTACAGGAACTTTTGTATTTTCACACTTGTAATTTTATTTTCAAATCCAATCATGCATGCTGAGTTATGGACAATAAGACATTAAGTTTGTACTCTTTTTGAACATACATGTATGTTACACTTTCGCACCCACGTATGCTATACACTATAATCCCATCCCAATTTTATGGTGAGGGGCATAAAAATTAAAGGTCAATTCAAGATCAAGAAAACAACACAAAATTTTGAAACAATAAAATTAAGCTAAGAATGATAGTATATAAACTTACTCGGGATGTTTGTTAAACATTACAGGGAGGTATTCATCCACAGGCAGTAATTTCTGAAGTGGTTTCTGAGCTAGCAGCTTCTTGGCACCTCTACTAGATAGCAGATAACTGAGTGTCCAGTAAGAATAACTAGGCCACACCAAGGTTTCTGATCCACTTAGGTAAGACTCATCTTTCCTGTTTAATCGCTTACGTCCAAGATATCTGTGAGCCAAAATACAAGCAGATAAATCAGTAACGTCTTTTTCTATAAAAATATAAATACATTTATTAATGTTTTTCTACTAGGCTGCAATAAGTCTTGTACAGCTTTGACGGTCATCGTGGTTTAGGTCACTGACATCAAATCACTTTCTTTCCATTTCTGGGAGATTAATTTCAATTACAGGCTTTGATTCTTTTTTTCCAATTCCAGCGCCATACTGACTCTCCTTCAGTTGATTAAAGTGTTTAATTGTTCAACGTACCTGAGGTAATAAGACACACCTGGGGTCATTTTTCAATCAGTTAGACTGGAAACTATGTACATAGCTTCAACCTTTAGTTTAACCAATAGCTTCAACCTTTAGTGTGAAGAAATTGCCTAGAATAAGTATTATAGCTGTCCCTGTTCAACAAATAGTCAAGCTATCTTACAAATGTTTAATGGTTCTACCCGAGCGCTCACATGAGCCTGATGTAATGCATGTAAGGGCGCAGAGGTCTTCCTCCACCTGATAAACTGTAGAGTTGCCATATCAACTTCACAATGTGGATATAAATTTAAACCCCTACAAACCTTTAATCATCATAGTCACAAAAATAGTAGAGTTTTATACTTACATTAGATCCCAATCTGGAACTTTTTCTTTAACTTGTCTCATAATGTGCCTCAATTTGGTTCTAAAATAAGGCTCAAATCTGAGGTCATCTTCAAACACAACTACCTCAGAATAACCTTTCTCTACCATATCTTTCCATATAAAGTAATGGCTCAGGAAGCAACCAATTTCTCCCATGGTCATAGGCCTAAAACATTATAAATACATATATAAAGATAACATACATGGAGCTTAATGTCTGTGATATATCATTGGTCAAATAAGCATGTGTCAACATTTTATTGATAACAATTAAATAATTTATCACAAGTAATTGGATAAAACTATTTGAGCCGTGTCACAACAAAACAAACATAGTGCATTTGCAACCAGCATGGATCCAGACCAGCCTGTGCATCCATACAGTCTGATGTTGGTTTTGTCATGACTCGGCTCAATTTTACAAACACTATTAACTCATTTAACCTACACAGAACAATTTAAAAATTGTATTCCAGCAAGTGGCTTTAATTTGTTTTAATCATTGATTGTCACATAATTGATTACTTGTGTGAAAATAATCTTTTTGTTATAGGATATGTTATTGACACATGATATTTATACCTGTAACTGGGGTGACCAGCCAGAGTTAGCTATTTTCAAATGTATTCAACGAAATATTATGTAGATGTTCAGTTTGACAATTTATTAAGAACCCTTTTCATTATTATTTTATAATGTGAAATATGAAACTTAAACATTAAAAAAAAAATTCTATGTTTGTTTGTATTTAGCGACATGTTTGTTTTGTTTGTATGTTTCATTTTACGCCTTTTTCCAACAGTATTTCAGTCATATAGGCGGTTAGTGCGAGATGTTATTTTTAACGAAATATATTTACATAGTAACTGGTGCACCGGTGTAATGGTAAGCTGATGAATGGCCACCAAAGGCTTTACTAAAGTCGATGTAACTGTTGCGAGCTCAAGTAATTGCCAATTATTTTCATTAGCAAGAACCGCAAATATTTCCATTTCGCAAAATTAACCACTTATACAGAATTGGATATCGCAATATTTCATCAGGCAATATAATGTGTTTTCAGATATTGCAATATACTGAAGCTATAAACATTAAATAAAAACATAAAATTCTCTTAAAAATAGAAGAGTAATCAACTTCTATTAGCTTGACTTCAAATGACATTTACATTAAGTTTTTAAAGTCCTTCATTTACAATGCCTTTTTTGTCACATTGCAAAATCATTTATTAAAGGGTCTCTCATATATAATTTATTGCGACATAATGTTAAATGAGAAACTCTTTAAAGTCATGGTTCTGTATGTCTTATCCCTGATTTTCAAGCATTTATATAGTTCATAATAAATTGCCATAAATTGCAATACATCTGTAAATATAGCAATACCATTTTTGCAATGCCCATCCCTACTCACTATATACCTTTGGATGAACATAATGTCAATTTATAAAGAATTAATTAATATTATAAAGAGGGAATTGATTAGAATATATCTTTCAGGTACAAAAAATGTCTGTAAAAGAAAAACAACATAATGTAGAAATGTTTTATTATGATCTTAATTAAATGCTCCTCAAAATTATATAATAAAAACCACTAACAGCCATATGCTAATGCAAAGAATTAACTATAAATAAACTTTTAATGTGGCACAGCAACCTTTCCTTTCTTCGTCTGGATAAGATTTTCATTATGAAGATAGCAATATAAGGATTTTTTTTGTTTACAATTAAATACAAGATTACCTTAATAATTGCAGATTTGCAATTAATAAATTTCTGTCATTCCAATACATACAAAATGACTTTGAAAATGTACTTTTGTATTAGGTGTTTTTAGATGAAAAAGTAAAAATTTCATCAAATGTATATATAATATATCTTTTAAAACATATATTATCAAAAAATCTGACATTTAGTGCTTTTGTTGTAAAATAAACAGCAATTAATTGTAGCATGTGTTTTCAAAGTCTTTAAGTATAAATTCAATGTATACACTTAACAAACATTAAAACTTTGATTCAATGTCTCAAAATATATATTTTTTTAGTGATTTTAATAATTTGCAAGATCCTCTTCCAAACAAGTGCACATCATGCAGTGTTAACAGGCAACAACCAGCAAAAACAAATTTTGACAAAAATCTAGGTTCAACAAAGGGGCATAACTCCAAAATTAGCTTTCAGATTTATGCCTGTTGTGTAACTACTGCACCTTATCATGATAAGCAAGTATACCAAGTTTTATGTTGATAACTTTACAAATATGTGAACAAGAGCTGTCCGTAAGACAGCGCGCTCGACTTTTTTATTGCTTGCCAATAAAAAAAGTTTTTGCAGTAAAAGGCAATACAAGAATCTCTGTATTTTTAAAGTGAACAATGGCCATGAGCATTAAGATATTTAGTGAAGAATTATTTTACTGAATTGTGTGATACCCTTGAACACTGCAGCAAAGTTTGAAATGTTTAAGTCAAAAGAGGGCTGGTAAGAAAGAAAAAAAAACTAAGTCGATAAAAGGCCTTAATTTTTAAAACAAATCCTTGACAGAGTTACCTTCTCTTGCGTACAGATGGGGGTAATGATGTGAAATAGCATTAAAAGTTTCAAAGCAATATCTCAAAGGGTTAAGGCAATAAGTGGATTTTACCCATATTCAATGTATTTTCTAAGTCAAAAAGGGGCATAATTCTGTCAAAAACCTTGACAGAGTTATGTCCTCTTGTCTGTTGATGAAGGTCGTGATGGTAAACAAGTATGGTCAGTTTCAAAGCAATACCTCCAATGGTTTTGAAATAAAGTGAGGTGGTACAAAAAACTTAACCAAGCTCAATACACTTTCTAAGTCAAAAAAGGGCCATAATTCTGTCAAAAACCTTGACAGAGTTATGTACTCTTGTCTGTAGATGGAGGTTATGATGGTGAACAAGTATGGTAAGTTTCAAAGCCATACTTGTAATACTTCTGAAATAAAGTGGGGTGGTACGAAAAACTTAACCAAGGTGTGACGCCAACGCCGACGCCGACGCCGGGGCGAGTAGGATAGCTCCCCTTTTCATAGAAAAGTCGAGCTAAAAATGGGCTACCTCTTAATTTTATTCACAATGACAAGGGCTCCAACAATGACAGCCATGCAGCTATCTTGGATATTAAACAAAAGTTTTTTTGTAATTATCTAACAGGGCTGTATTTCATTCAAATCCATTCCAAGAGTTGAGCCTTGGACAGTAACCTCTTCAAACTTCAAAAAAGAATTTTCTATGTTCACAAAGTATGATCACATCTGTCAAAATCCATGCCAAAATTACAGAGATTAAATAGTGACTTCTTAAAATAATATCAAGTAAGTGTGTAAAGTTTGTGGTTGATGTTGTACATGAAGTTGCAAGTAAAAAAAGACTGTGAAAACTTCACTGAAGTTGATACACTTTTGTTATTCAATAAATAAAATACTGAAAGCTTTTTTGACAAATAGATAAACTGCAATTATGTCAACAAAGAAAAGCTGTTGTAATTGCAACACCACATTTTGTTATATAATAAATATTTCAAAGCAAATTAAAATTAAGCCATATGATATTAGTAGTAGAATACTTGCTTCAGATGAGATTAAAGGCATCCCATATATAATGGTACATGTATAAAGGCATGCAATGAAAAGTTTCATAGTGACCTTCCACCATAGGGATCTGTGAAGCCGGGAACTACTTCTATTTTTAGATCTTTGTATAGATATGTGTCATTCAGAAGTCTAAAATAAAAGATAATACAACATAGTACCACAAGGGAGATAACCAAAACATCTATATTTAGATAACTTATGTCTATATTTAGACAAATTGTCTATTTTTAGATAACAAATGTCTATATTTAGACATACTGTCTAATTTTAGAAATGAAATTTCTGTATTTAGACAAAGTGTCCATTTTAAACAATGTCTAAAGTTAAGAAATTCTATCTGGAACACAGTTTAGTGATACACAAAATAGAAGCAGTTATTTTGCCATCTATAGGCTTAAATGCTAGAGCGGGTTTTTACCGTGAGAAAAACAGCAAACTTTGCAAAGATTCTAGGTTACTGCAAAGACAACACTTCCTAAACTTTGTCTAATACTACAACACATAGGCTATACTGTCAGCCATATACAAGAAAGATAACTCAGATTTAAAGGGATATTCAGGCAAAATAATGACAAAAATATTAAAATGATCTTATGCACTCAAATCACGCTAAAATGACTTTTCCTGAAGTTTCAGCATGAACTTTTGTTTTAATTCTATATATTTTGGGTTTGAAGCGTAAATATATCTATATATGTTGAACAAAATTCACATGCCAATGGAATCACCAAATAGTTTTATAACAAGTCCGGTGACTTGAACAAACCCTTGAAGTTACAATAAAAGATATTGTGGATATTGTATGATTGAAACAAGCCTAAGTCATTCATTTAACATGTTCTTTAATGTGCTCAGAGTCCACTTTGACAACTATTGTGAAAATCTAGCGCTCTAACCTGACCTACGCGGGTCAAGTTAGGAAACCACCATTTTATTCTTTATATGGAGAAAAGTTTTGTTTCTTTGACTGTCTGATATATTCATTTTGAGGGCATTTACAGAATAATGAATGAAAAATTTAAAACTAAGAAATGAAAATTTTGCTTGTGTCTCCCTTTAACCACAATTTTTAAATTCTTTACAAAAAATACAAATTTTAAAAAATGAGGTACTAGACAAAGTTCATATGAAAATGGTGCCTGTTATCTACAGTAAAAACAACTTTTACAAGCTTCCAAAAAGCTGTTTTTTATGACTTTAAGTGTTTTGGGTTGAACAATATTGCCTATATGAAAAATTCCATCATATCAAAATATATTGTACAAAGTTATTTATTTAGACATTTTTGTAAGCTTGTAAAAGAAATGCAAACTAAAATCAACATGCTGTAACTGATCATGTGTCCGTCATTTGATCTTAGTTTGCATTTCACAGGTATGGTAAGCAAGAAGAATGTGCCTCACACACTATCACCAGACATCTACTGCTTTATCTGAAGGTTTATTTCAGCATGTGTTGTCAGAATAAACGTTATTTAAAAAAGAATTTGATGTCATAGCAAAATCAATATTTAGCATGATTTGAAACTCAATTTGAATTAATGAGTTTTTTTCTTTCGTTTTGCATCATAAAACTGATTTTACTGGAAAAAATGGAGTGAGCAAATATTCTGAAATTTTGCAGACAAGTTACTGATGTAGACAACGATTTGTATAAAAATCTTGAAAAAAAAAATTTTTTTTTTTAAAAATTCAAAAGATTAGTTCTGTCATGTCAAAAAACACTTAAAATCCTTCAGTGGATCGCCTTTAAATTTCTAATTCTATGAAAACAACTCTGCTATGATATCAAATCAGATTAGAATAAAATATAACAGCTGGCAAGCCTTTAAATTATCTTTGTTTCCTCCCTGCTATGCCACTCTCAGTATGGTAAAACAGTCAGCTGTAAAGATGGGATTCTCAATGACAAACTTCTTTTCAATGTTTAGTTTAAAAAAAAAATTTGTGCAGCAAATTATTTTTAGGTAGCAGTGGTTTTTTGCGGGTAGATTGCTACATGGGAAACAAAAAATTCTTTAAGAATATTTCATTTCAGGCTGAAATAAACCTTCAATGACAAATATTGGAAATAAGAAAACCCAGGAAAAACTAAAGAGCTTCTTAACCTGCCTTTCACTGGATCAGAAAAGCCCGGTAGTATTTTTATATCCAGAGTTTTTAAATAAGATGCATTTATTAACCTGAAAAAATTAAATCCAAATTTAGCATCATTGCTGATATAATATTATCAACTAAAAAAACATTTAACAGAATGACATTTAAGATATGTAAAAACATTCATATTTGTATAAAAGGTAAGGATACAATTACTGGATTCTCATATTTTTTATTCCGTTTTTTTACCATGCCAGTCAACAATCCCAGCTTTTGTGGAGAAATAGAAAATTCATAAAAACCTTTTTCAGTTGTGAAAAAGTGAGAGTGACTTAATTAGGTCATTTTCCTCAATGAACAGACTTCGGCTGATTTAATATATACAATTTTTTGCAAATGTATTTTAAAGTAAAATATTGTGAAGTAACCAATAGGAAGCAATTTCCACATTACAGATAGCACTCACAACCCACGTAAATAACCACAATGAGGTCAAAATATTTGAAAATAGCCAGTGCTGCAGTTAGTAACGTAGTAGAAATATGATTATAAATATAATTAATCAGTCATTAAACTTCAAATAACATGTAAATTATTACTTAAATCTTGAGTATTTTTTACTTTTCCTACAATCTTACTATATTTTCCTCAGGTTTGATTTCACTGTTATATTTTGGCTCATCTAGAGGCATGTCACTTTAAAGCCTGTAATCCTTTTAAACAAGAAGAGAGCATACATAAAATGATTGACTTTTACTTACTTGCCATCAACTGCCGGAATAAGTTCAGCTTCTATCCCTAGTACATCAAACACATATAACATTCTGTTCCTACGTTCAGAACGTCGCTGCAGATTTATCATGTAAACCTAAAATAAATTAAAATATTCAATATAAAATCGTAAAGGAAAACACTATTTAAACAATAAAGAAAGAATAATCTACTTACGTTACATAAAGAAGCAATAAATATTTTGGTCTTCTTTCTATTAAAACAGAACACCTCCAGATTCATGCTAATTTTCATGAAAATTTTTAAAATGTTTTTGAATGTATAATATTGTGAAATAATCAAAAGGAAGCAGTTGACACATTATCAATGGCACTTACAACCACTTATATTACCAAAAAATGGTAAAAATATGCATAAATAGCCTAAACTGCGTTAGTAATGCAGTAGAAATACAGTTGTAAATACTGAAAAAATCATTCATTAATGGCACATAACATGTAAAATATCACTTGAATCTTGAATCATTTTACTTTCCTATAATCTTAGTTAATATTTCTCAAGTTTGATTTTATTGAAATAATTTGACTCATCTGGAGGCATGTAGCTTTAAACCATAAAGAAAAATTATCTACTTACATAACATAAAGAAGCAATAAACTAACAGTTTGGTCTACTTTCTATTAATTTATTTGTCCTACTTTCTTTTGTCAACAGAAATACAAAAAAGTACAATACTGACAGTTTTAACACAATATTGAAAATACTTCTGCTGCTTATTTTGCTTACATTTTATCGTACATCTAGGAATTTAACTAACTGTATATAATTGTATAACTACTCTACATATTATTAAAGTAAAAAAAATTAAAAGATTTATAGCAGCACACCTCCAGATTCATACAATTTTTCATGAACATTTTTGAAAACTAATTAAAAGTAAAATATTGTGAAGTAACCAAAAGGAAGCAAGTAACACATTACAAACAGCACTAAAAATCTTTGTAAAGTACCAAAATAACATCAAACTCTTACATGGGTAACATAATTTTTCCACAGAAAGTTTGAAAAATAACAAGAGCGTTCAGTAATCACATGTGCTCCTCATGATGGCAAATTTCATGTTGGGACAAATTTTGTGACAGACGGACAGACAGATGGACAGTGCACAACTAGACTTTGTACTGATCATTCCTTTAAAGTTTGGATAAAATTGCACCAGTAGTTTATGAGGAGTAGTCCGGACAAGCTTTTGCGTATCTGGCAACACACAGAAAAAAACACCTTTTTATCAAAGGGCCATAACTCGGCCAAAAATCATTCAACCAGAAAACCCGTGCAATATGGGCAAGGACTTGAGCTACAGATCAATCCTGTAAAGTTTCATTGAAACTGCAGTAGTGGTATAAGAGAAGTAGTCTGGACAAACTTTAAAAATAAAAATTATTAAAGGGCCATAACTCAAACAAAAATCATTGAACCGGAAAATGCTGACAATATGCACAACTAAACTTGGTACTGATCATTCCTGTAAAGTTTGGATGAAATTGCACCAGTAGTTTATGAGGAGTAGTCCGGACAAGCTTTTGTGTATCTGGCAACACACTGAAAAAGAAACCTTTTTATCAAAGGGCCATAACCCACGGCCAAAAATCATTCAACCGGAAAACCCGTGCAATATGCGCAAGGACTTGAGCTACAGATCAATCCTGTAAAGTTTCATTGAAATTGCATTAGTGGTATAAGAGAAGTAGTCCGGACAAACTTTAAAATTAAAAATTATTAAAGGGCCATAACTCATACAAAAATCATTGAACCGGAAAATCCTGAGAATATGCACAACTAGACTTGGTACTGATCATTCCTGTAAAGTTTGGATGAAATTGCACCAGTAGTTTATGAGGAGTAGTCCGGACAAGCTTTTGTGTATCTGACAACACACAGAAAAAGAAACCTTTTTATCAAAGGGCCATAACTCGGCCAAAAATCATTCAACCGGAAAACCCGTGCAATATGCGCAAGGACTTGAGCTACAGATCAATCCTGTAAAGTTTCATTGAAATTGCATTAGTGGTATAAGAGAAGTAGTCCGGACAAACTTTAAAATTAAAAATTATTAAAGGGCCATAACTCTTACAAAAATCATTGAACCGGAAAATCCTGAGAATATGCACAACTTAACTTGGTACTGATCATTCCTGTAAAGTTTGGATGAAATTGCACCAGTAGTTTATGAGGAGTAGTCCAGACAAGTTTTGTGACGGACGGACGGACAGACAGACGGACGGACAGACAGACGGACAGACAGACGACAGAGAAGTGATCCCTATATGTCGCCACTACTCCGTAGAGGCGACACAAAAAATCTATAAAAACAGTGTCCCATTGAAGTATATGTTCCATGTAATAAAATAAATAACACATAAGTTTGTGAGTAACAGCAAACATATCATTCCTCGTAAAAATACTATTACCCGGGGCATTAACAGTACTTCCTCTAAGCATTAACAGTACTTCCTCGGGGCATTAACAGTACTTCCTCGGGGCATTTACAGTACTTCCTTGGGGCATTAACAGTACTTCCTCGGGGCATTAACAGTACTTCCTTGGGGCATTAACAGTACTTTCTCGGGCATTTACAGTACTTTCTTAGGATGGTATTTTTACTATTACAGTAAAATAACTAACAAACCTATGTGTTATCAGAGACAAAGATATCTATGTCTATGGTGTTATTTCTATACTTATACTAACCTTATCAAAACCAAGCCGGTCCTTTGGTTTCATTGGAACATCAAGATAGGGTGATGGTATGAGTCCTCTACCTTCAACTAGATAATAGATATAGACAATACAGAATAAGTGACAACAACTAAATCTAAATATAGAACACTTCTTTAGTGCATTTTAATTTGGCTTTACGGCACTCCAAAACAGTAAAGATCATATGGCGCTAAAAAAGGAAAGATGATTTTCGCTAACCTACAGTGTTACAATCTTCAAAGCAACATCAAGGTCCAAAACCACCTCACCTGCTGGTGCTATGCTATGCATAGAATTCCAGTTATTCAAACCTATTTAGTTGCCTCTTACGATCACACAGGGATGAAAAGTGGCAGCAATTCTTGTGTCTCAACCACTAAAAGAAACCCATGAGCCACAAGGGGCTCAGTGCATTTTGATTTTGACTATAACAAAACAATTTGTGGAAACACTGAGTGCAAATTCAGTGAGATAGCAATTTCAATGAAAGCGTTATATAAGTCTCATATTAAATTGATTAAAGCACAACTATTCTGTGAATATTTTTATTGAAATCTCTTGAGAAATGCAGACAAAGTAGAGCAAAGTAAAAAAACTGATTACATTAAAATCAGACTGAGAATAGCATGATAATACGATTTTTAATTTATTTACGAGCAAATTTCTTTATGATTATCTTTTGCTTTAATTGCCCCAGGTGTTTTGTGTAAGAAATTAAAATCTTATGTCTGATGACTTATGTGCAAACATTTCAGAACTTGGTATGTGCTGCAGTATCATTTTTTTGTGCAAACAACCTAAACAAGAGCTGTCACAGGAGACAGCGAAGCTCGACTAATAAAATACTGGACGCAGTAAGGAGGACAAAACTATGAAAGAAAAATCAATTATGTATAATAATGTATTAAGTCATAGTAAAAAAATAACATTTGTTAACATAAATTCCAAGATCAAGGGGAATAATTCTAGAAATAGTCATGCTAGAGTTATGGACCTTGTCACACAACATTTGTGTAATGATAAGAAATATATGTTTGAAGTTTGAAGTAGATACCTTAAAAAGTAAAGAAGTTATTATATTTCTTAAAGAAAATCCTAAGTTCAAAGAGAGATAAATCTGTAAATATTGCTTCAAGAGTTCTGAACATTGTCACATAAAATGTAATTGATGATAAGGAATAAGTATTTGAAGTTTGAGGTAGATACCTTTAAAAATAAAAAAGTTATAATAAAAAATAACATTTTTCTAGTAAAAAAATCTAAGTTTATGGGGAGATAATTCTTGCAATATTGGTGCTAGAGTTATGACCCTTGTCACATAAGATGTGGATGATGATAACGTAAATATATTTGAAGTATGAAGTTGATCTCTTTAGAAATAAATAAGTAACAGTAAAAAATACTATTTTTTTATGGAAAATTCTAAGTTCAAAGGGAGATAAATCTGAAAATATTGGTGCTAGAGTTATGAACCCTGTCACATAGGATGGGGATGATGATAACGTAAATATATTTGAAGTATGAGGTTGATCCCTTAAGAAACAAGCAATTATCATAGTATTGCAAGCAATCCATAAGTCCCCTACCGGTAAGAGCCCAAGCAACATTCTGAAGGGCCATTGGCCATTCACTTATGTTCCTATTTTAAGTAAATTTGTTGAAAAAGTTCTTTAAAAGTGATCACAGGAAACAGTTTTTATGTACAGACAGCCGGACTGAAGGACACTCTAAAGTTATTTTTTTAAACATCCCTGTTATCAAAATATAACATTTTTAAAATCCTATCATGATTAAAGAAGTTGGAGTAAAAATTACCAATTTCTCAAAAAAAAAGTCTAAGTTCAAAAGGGGCATAATTCTGGAAATAGTCTTGCTAGAGTATTGAACACTCACAAATGTTGGGTGATAATAAGAAACATTTATATGAAGTTTGAAGTAGATACATTCAGAAAAAGAAGTTATTAAAAAAAAAAACAATGTTTTTTTCATGAAAATTTTAAGTTCAAGGGAGGTAATTCTGATAAATTTTGTGCTAGAGTTGTAAACCTTGTCACATATGATGTGGTTGATGACAAGCAACTTATATTTAAAGTTTGAAGAAAATACCTTAAGAACTTATAGTAAAAAAACTTAAAAACTAGAATCAGAAATCTTGAAATTCAGTCTATTTGTTGCCATAGCAACCAGAATTTTCAACATAGGAAGATAAGAAAAGGATGTGCATAATTTCCATACTGCCATCTACCCAAATGTCAAGTTTCATAAACATATTTTCAGTACTTTTTGTGTTATCACTGGATCCAGGTTATGTGTAAAATTTGCCATATTTTCAGTCTATTTGTTGCCATAGCAACCAGAATTTTCAACATAGGAAGAAAAGAAAAAGACGTGCACAATCTCCATACTGCCATCTATCCATATATCAAGTTTCATAAAAATATCTTCAGTACTTTTTGCGTTATCGCGGGATCCAGGTTATGTGTAAAATTTGCCATATTTTCAGTCTATTTGTTGCCATAGCAACCAGAATTTTCAACATAGGAAGAAAAGAAAAAGACGTGCATAATCTCCATACTGCCATCTATCCATATATCAAGTTTCATTAAAATATTTTCAGTACTTTTTGCGTTATCCCGGGATCCAGTTTTGTGGACGGACGGACTGACGGACGGACAGACGGAAGGACTGACGGACAGACGGACGGAGGGTAAACCTAAAGTCCCCTCCGGTAAACCGATAGGGGACTAATAAAGAAGTAACAGTAAGAAATAGCATTTTTTGAGGAAAATTCTAAGTTCAAGGGGAGATAAATCTGAAAATATTGGTGCTAGAGTTATGAACCTTGTCACATAAGATGTGGTTGATGATAAGGAACATATATTTGAAGTTTGAAGTTGATACCTTAAGAAATGACAAAGTTATAGTGAAAAATATTTTACTGCACCAAAACTTTAATCTAAAATCTGGACGCGGACGCTGACGCCGACGCAGGGGCGAGTAGGACAGCTCTCCATATACTTCGTATAGTCGAGCTAAAAATGAATTATACCTCAAATTTGGCTAAAGATTACATTTAATAGCGATTTTAAATTAAATTTTTTTTCCCTCAAAATGGGCTAAAATTAACATTTCATTTTTTACTGTTATAAGTGTCCTTGTTTATCTATGTTAGATTTTCAAATTTTATAATTTTAGGATTTTAGACCTCTGACCTTTAAACATTTTAGTTGAAACAAAAAAGAAATTTCTCAAAGCAACACAAGCTTACCAATATAATCCACACCTGGGCCAGTTTCTGGATTGTCTGCATCTATTGCAATAAATAATGAAAATATATTTAATACAATTTTAAAAATTTCAAGCTGGTAAAAATATTGAATAGATCATTAAATCTATTCTAAAATGCTTCACAATCAAACAGATAGTACAATCCAGTGGATTAATACACCATATATGCACAGCAGAAAGAAATGTTTACACATCATGATAGCCAATAGGAAGGGTGTTGGACTGTGAATCGGGCGCCATGGGTTTGATTCCCCGACAACGCTGGTCACTTTTGTTGTGATTGATCATGAAGTCCTTTCTACAGTCATTTGCAACGTACCTCTGCTCCGGCATGTACAGAAGTTTCAGTTCCTTTGGAAAGTGAAGGCAACTAGTACTGGTAAACTGCTTGACAGTCTGCCCAGGAAGGATGCGGGGGTTGAACTGTGCTCTGGTGAATTCAATGTGGCTTACTGTCATGATCTGGAGTGAAAACTACCAACACCACCACCACCATCATGATAGCCAATTGCATGTTGCAGCTACCGTGCAGCAGTAGACACAACAATCATTTACAGGGCAAAATGTGTCTTTTACTTTAAGGCCATAACTTAGCCTAAAATCAATAAACCAGAAAACCTGAGTAACATGCCCAAGTACTTGAGCTACCAATCCACCCAGTAAACTTTCACTGAAATTGCATTTATGGTATAACAGGAATAGTTCAGGCAAACTTTAAAAATAAAAAATAATTAAAGGACCATAACTCTAACAAAATCCTTGAACTGGAAAAATGCTGATGATATGCACAAATAGACTTAGTACTGATCATTCCTGTAAAGTCTGGATGAAATTTCACAAGTAGTTTTCAAGAAGTAGTCCGGACAAGCTTTTGTGACTGACAGATGGAATGACTGACAGATGACCTAGATGTGATCCCTATATGCCACTATACTGTAGAGGTGACACAAAAATGGAAACAATTCTCAGATAGACATGATAATGTATCCTATAAATTACAAACCTAACATCTCCATCCTTAACAATGTAAACTGTTCATCTTCTATAAACAAGGTATGATACTCATCCAATGGGACCATCACATGTCCAAAGTACTCTGTGTTTAAAATATACATTGGCACTCCAGCCTGCAATAACAAAATCATTGTTTTGTACGGTAAATCATTGTTTGCAATAAAATAATTTGTATGGTGAATCATTGTTTGCAATAAAATCATTTGTATGGTGAATCATTGTTTGCAATAACAAAATCATTATTTTGTGAGGTGAATCATTGTTTGCAATAACAAAATCATTATTTTGTGTGGTGAATCATTGTTTGCAATAACAAAATCATTATTTTGTGAGGTGAATCATTGTTTGCAATAACTAAATCTTTATTTTGTGAGGTGAATCATTGTTTGCAATAACAAAATCATTATTTTGTGAGGTGAATCATTGTTTGCAATAACAAAATCATTATTTTGTGAGGTGAATCATTGTTTGCAATAACTAAATCTTTATTTTGTGTGGTAAATCATTGTTTGCAATAACAAAATCATTATTTTGTGAGGTGAATCATTGTTTGCAATAACAAAATCATTATTTTGTGAGGTGAATCATTGTTTGCAATAACTAAATCTTTATTTTGTGAGGTAAATCATTGTTTGCAATAACAAAATCATTATTTTGTGTGGTGAATCATTGTTTGCAATAACAAAATCATTATTTTGTGAGGTGAATCATTGTTTGCAATAACAAAATCATTATTTTGTGAGGTGAATCATTGTTTGCAATAACAAAATCATTATTTTGTGAGGTGAATCATTGTTTGCAATAACAAAATTATTATTTTGTGAGGTGAATCATTGTTTGCAATAACTAAATCTTTATTTTGTGAGGTAAATCATTGTTTGCAATAACAAAATCATTATTTTGTGTGGTGAATCATTGTTTGCAATAACAAAATCATTATTTTGTGAGGTGAATCATTGTTTGCAATAACTAAATCTTTATTTTGTGAGGTAAATCATTGTTTGCAATAACAAAATCATTATTTTGTGAGGTGAATCATTGTTTGCAATAACAAAATCATTATTTTGTGAGGTGAATCATTGTTTGCAATAACTAAATCTTTATTTTGTGAGGTAAATCATTGTTTGCAATAACAAAATCATTATTTTGTGAGGTGAATCATTGTTTGCAATAACAAAATCATTATTTTGTGAGGTGAATCATTGTTTGCAATAACTAAATCTTTATTTTGTGTGGTGAATCATTGTTTGCAATAACTAAATCTTTATTTTGTGAGGTGAATCATTGTTTGCAATAACAAAATCATTATTTTGTGAGGTGAATCATTGTTTGCAATAACAAAATCATTATTTTGTGTGGTGAATCATTTTTTGCAATAACTAAATCTTTATTTTGTGTGGTGAATCATTGTTTGCATAAAACAAAATCTTTATTTTGTGAGGTGAATCATTGTTTGCAATAACAAAATCATTATTTTGTGAGGTGAATCATTGTTTGCAATAACTAAATCTTTATTTTGTGAGGTAAATTATTGTTTGCAATAACAAAATCATTATTTTGTGAGGTAAATCATTGTTATTAATCAATTGAACTTTTAACTACATTTTTAAAATTTTATGAAAATTAGCGGGAATCTATGCATGCTGCTTTAGTGTACTTAAAAAGTTATTGTCATAGACAAAGTATAAAGAATCAATAATATCGTTAGTTTAATGCTTACATCTTGTGCGGACAGAGCAAATATTATGATGTCATCTTCAGGCATGTTATATCCAGGTGGAGCAATATAGGACAGTTTTTCTGTAAATACATAGAGTAAAAAATAAAACAAAATAGGACACAGAAATAAATATCTTTCAGAAAATCTCAAGAAATAATTTAAAACAAATCAAGGCTGAATATAAAAGAGTCCATCTAGAACTTTCACATGAAACTGTGTTCTTTCATTTGCTTATATGTAGCTCCAGTTATTTATATTAGAAGTTGTTTTCAAGTTAGACATAATGCTGTAGGGAGTGACACTTCGATTTTCACAAGCAAATTTACATTTTTTCTCCAAATAAACTGTCAAATACAATGTAGTAATCAACATTTATCATTACTTATTTCAAGAAGCCATGAGAAACAAAGTGCTTTAGATAAATCACTCTAAACAAAATAACCACAGGAAAAGAATATGTTAAGTATCAAATCTTAAACTCTCACAGCTGTGGTCTGTGCAGTTAACCCTGAATAAATGCTTATTTTAATTCAAATTATCTAGATTGCACCCCCCCCCACCCTGAGGAAATCAAACTATTTTAAACCATTCAAAACATAGAAATACTAATAACATAAATACCTGATATTGTGTGCCGTAAATCCATTAAGAAGACAGTATGAATCATTGGAACTTGAAATACGCCTTGAATTTCACGCTCCAACATTTTGAAATACTCCGGCACTCTTTTGTAATAACCTTGTTCATCCATACCACCCCAGAAGTTAGAGTATGTATCCCCGACAGAGGCATTCATCACAGGAGCTATCAAGGTCCTTAAATTGATAAAATAATATCACTTAATAACATTTCACAACTCTTTAACAATTCAAATCTTACAAAACAAGCAACAGAAATTGTCATCAAACCAAGATTTTGCCAAAAATGATACCTTCCTTATGTGACAGCATCTAAATTCCCTGAGAGTTTGCTAGAAAATGGGTCAAACCACCAAATTGTGGTGCTTATTTAGTTTAGCAATTGAGTTTTTTTCTCCTAATTAGATAATGATTATATGTAGACCAATACAATAACATAACATTTCTTAAACATTTATAAATACAATGACAGTTATTACTACTGCATGCAGCGCACAAAGATGATTTATAAAAGATTTTACTCACTTCTGCTGATCAATGAGAAGTTTTAATGTATCTGGATTTTCCAACATGACATCTGCATCAATCATCTGTATCGGGAAATGATAATATGATTAATTAATTGGTTTAGGTCTAGTGCAATGGTGCTTTAGATATTTACAGACAGTTATCTCAATTTTGGATCATCAAATGAATTGTTAACATTCTATCAATTACTTTATCAAGTTATTGGTCTCATATCTGTTCTGAATTTCATTATATGTTGTTCAAAACTTTCCTACAAGTCACTGTGAATATCATGAATCATTTTAACAGTCACTGACCGAATATTATAGAAGTCATTAAATGACACAGATATATTTCTGTCAACAACAACATCATCATCCACATAAGCTTAATGCACTCTTTACAATATTGATTAACATTTACCATGTAAAATTATGTTTAAAGGACCTTTTCTCAATCTTTCAATCTGGACAATTGTCTTATTATAGATCATGAGATCTGTATTTCCAACTATTCTAATCATATACTGATTCCTAATCAAATGTTTCATATATACATGTATATATAGAACCTTTTACTTAAATCACTGTATAACTGTTTTGATTTTACATCCCAAAAAGAAATTTATCTATAATTTGCCATTGACAAAAGAAGGTTTTTAGAATTTTTCCACTTTTATTCTCAATAAATATCCTTAACTGAATTAGATTTTCAACCATGCCACTCTTAACCAAGAACAAACTTACCAGCAAATAATCTGCCCACATATTTCTTGCAGTTTTAATGGCTTTCTGACGTAGTTGTATAACATGGTTAAATCTTTCTATAGTCCAATGACATGGTCCTATCTCTCCAGCAAATCCTGAAAGAAGCAGTGGCTAGATGTATTATTTTAAGAAACTTAATCCTTTTTTATTCCAGAATAAAATGGAATAAAAAAAGGTGATAAAAAGATAACTTTGTAGAAATCACTCCTTATTTTTTATTAAATACATAATCTGCTTAAAGGCATGTTAAACAAATGCAATATATAATGGACACGATATAAACGTTCAAAAAATAAGCTTCCTAATTTTATCTACCCTGAGTCCTGACAATAATTCACTACATCTGTGCATGTAAAATGATAATACTGCCCATTATCTTTATATCTTATTGAATGACAAAATTTAAATCAGGAACTCGTATCTTGACCCATGAAAATTCAAAAATTCACTCATTTGACCTGTCATAAAATTAGCATGCCTGTAATATTTGACTGGCATAAATATTCTGCTGCAGTATGAAAACATTTACTTCTTGTTTATCAATAATCTTTATCATAGGAATCTTAAGCAACAGGGCAATTGGCTCCATCTACAAGTGCAAATATCTCTTAATGAACTTCAAAGCTTATAAATAAAAGTAATTGTAAAGCTGAAATGTAGACCCAGTGGCATGTGAATTTGTTACCTGGACCCTTACTAAGCTATTTGTTTACTAATGTAAATCTGACTTGAACTTTTTATGTGATGGGTCATTTAACATTTGACCCATGAGTTTCAAAGTTTACTGATCATCAAACAGACATAAATATAATGCAATATTCTGTCAAAATCTTGTACTGCTAATGTTCAGGTGCAAAACTTCATCAACTAGTAAACAATAACTGAGCCAAGCCATGACAAAACCAACATAATGGGTTTGCGACCAGCATGGATCCAGACTAGCCTGCCCATCCGCGCAGTCTGATCAGGATCCATGCTGTTCGCTATCAGTTTCTCTACTAAGAGGATTGGTAAGCGAACAGCATGGATCCTGATCACATCTGCGCAGGCTGGTCTGGATCCATGCTGGCGCAATCCCACTATGTTGGTTTTGTTGTGATGCGGCTCAACTTACCAGTAGGTGTATCATCAAACACAAATTCCACAGAATTATACATGTGTTCTGTAGCTTTTATCCATTTATTTAGTATTGCTGTAGAATTGTCAATATTGTGGTCACTTCGTATCCTGTTAATAAGTTAAAATGTATAAATTAAAATACTTTTCTTAAAATTAATGATATATATTACTCATAATTGTTTAACACTTCACAAGAAAAATCAAGCCTATATTTCATTTTCAAGCCTATCAAGCAGTCTATGGAGACAGTTCTAACATTCTGTCCAATATATTTTTTCACTGGATACCTGGCCCCTCTTCTATTGATAAACTTTCTCCACTACTTCATGTTAGTCTTATCACTATTACATATATTTATATATGCACATATTATTTTTAAGCATTTAGGTTATACTGCTGTATAGTTTTGTTTATTTTGAACTAAAATAACTTAATTATAAGGTTGAATGAATTTGGTGGATTTTAGTTTGTGCATTACGTAGGCATAAACAACTTTCTATTGGTCACTTATATATCATTTGGTGGTAACATTTTTGTCTTTTTCGCTTCTACAATTTTTGTTCATTCTGTATTAAAAAAATTTTGTTTGACAAGATCACATGTTGAGATTCTAATTTACTAAAAGTTTATTGAAAGGTTATTTTACAGAATTGTTCAACTTAGGTTGAAAATTTATTTGTTTATGGACTGGTGTATTGTTCATCAGATTTTTTTATTGTGCAAACCAAGAGGAGTTTTCGTATTTGGTAATTATTTTGTTGAATACGAATAAACTTTATTCTGTAATTTGTGCTGAGTAAGCAGTTTGTATCTTTAATAGCATAATACTCACGACACTGCAGTATTATTGTTAACAGAATGACCTTAATGCTACAGTTAACATTTTAAATGGTACTTCTGTTTCCTCCAATCAAGTCTTGATCCAGCTTGATTTTAAATTCATGAACTCTTTTGAGCTGACTACATTTTTAGGCAAATTATTCCTTGTTTTAATCACATAACATACACATGTTAAAACTGATTCAAGCAATGAGTTGTTCTACAACGCCTCATTCCTAATTTTAAATGAAGACCTCTTGTTGATGCCAAATAACTAAAATAATTTTCAAAAGTGCAGTCATCTAGACCTTTAAAATTTTTGGATACAATTTATAGGGCTAGTCATTGTGCAAAGATATTATTAATCTGTTTAATCTCTAAAGTTTGAAACTTTGATGTGAGGGTAACATATATGATGTCAAAACAGATGATGTAGACAGTGTTTTTTTTTAAATGACTACTTCCCTTAAACGGCACTTTTCCCAATAGAAAAAAGACATTAAAATTCCCAATTTCCAATGTTTAAATTCCTAAAATGGCTTTTCAAAATTAACCACAAGGCCAAGAGATTTCTCTAAAATCATTAATCCAAGATATTTATATTAATCACCACTCAATAGTTCTACCTGGACAGTGAAAACTGTTAGCTATCTTTATTCATGATGACTTATCTTATTTGTAGCTGAAAAAATGCATATTAAAAATTCCCAATTTATGTCAAAATAACGCATTTTTTCCCAATCAGTCTGATAACGGCACCATTCCCAAACTATTGAAAAAAAAAAACCCTGATGTAGAAAATAGATTTAAAACTGATCTATTGGTATCAACTGACAACAAGGGTGCCATAGTCACAAAATACGCCCGTTTACGAAAGCTTTAGATGGAGATTGGGCATTATGGATAAGTTCCATTTTGCAAGCAAGTTTTTATTCTTGGCACTGTGTTGTTAAATGAACCTTAAAACAAATCAGTAGGGAAGATATGCCCAGGATGTGTGACCTTGACCTTGGTCGCAAGGACCTGAATTTTATGCACAGCACTCAGCCTCACAATGATGAACATTTGTGCTAAATTATATTGAAATCCCTCTATGCATGTAGAAGTTTTGCTCCAGACAAGCGTTTTTCTATGAGTTCTAACTGTGACCTTCACCTTTGACCTAGAGACTTGGTTCATGTGCAGGGCACTACGTCTCATGGTGGTGAACAATTCTATAAAGTAACATTAAAATTCCTCCATGCATGTAGAAAATATGCTCCAGACAACATCTGGATATTTAATCATCTCCAGTGACCTTGACCTTGCAAATATTAACCTAAATTAAATGTGTCACACCTGTTGTCATGACAGTTACCATTTGTGCTACAATCCATCAATAAATGATGACTAAATGGTCCCTATACACATCTTCAAATTTTTATCTGAACTTTGACCTCTATGTGTAACCTTGACTTTGGTTACAAGGATCTGAATTTTGCGTGTGACACTCAGCCTCACAATGGTGAGCATTTGTGCCAAGTTATATTGAAATCCCCCTTGAATTTAGAAGTTTTGCTCCGGACAAGCATTTTTCAATGAGCTCTAAGTGTGACCTTGACCTTTGACCTGGATCATGCATGGAGCAATACATATCATGGTGGTGAACATTTCCATAAAGTATTATAAAAATTCTTCCATACATGTAGGAGATATGCTCCAGACAAAATCTGGATATTTCACCATCTTTAGTGACCTTGACCTTGCATATATTGACCTAAAGTACATGTGTCACAGCCTTAGTCATGATAATGACTATTTGTTTTACAATCCCTCAATAAATGATGATTTAATCGTCCCTATACACATCTTCATATTTTTATCTAAACTTTGACCTCTATGTGCGACCTTGACCTTGGCTGCAGGGACCTGAATTTTGTGCGCGACACTCCGCCTCACAATGGTGAACATTTGTGCCAAGTTATATTGAAATCCCTCTTTGCATGTGGAAGTTTTGCTCCGGACAAGCGTTTTTCAATGAGCTCTAAGTGTGACCTTGACCTTTGACCTAGAGACCTAGTTCATGTGCGTGACATGGCTTCTCATAATGGTGAACATTTCTATGAAATTTCATTAAAATCCCCCCATGTGTGTAGGAGATATGCTCCAGACAAAATCTGGATATTTCACTATCTTAAGTGACCTTGATCTTGTATATATTGACCTAAATTATATGTATCACAGCCATAGTCTTGATAATGACCAATTGTGTTACAATCCCTCAATAATTGATGACTAAATAAAATGGTCCATATACAAATCTCCATATTTTTATCTGAACTTTGACCTCTATGTGTGACCTTGGGTGTTCCATTTCAAACGGGCGTATAAAAACTACATGTACATGTTCCACATACTGTTAGTGCCATTTTCTTGATTGATATATATGAATGATAAAGATAAGATTATTTTATCTTTGATGCCGTGCTGTGATACTGATGTAGACAAAAGACTCTAGCTAGGCATTACTATACAGATGTAACAAATTAACATTCTGCCTTTATTGAATACAAATTAGTATGTCTATCAAAATTACTGACATTAATAAATTAATAATATGGAATTTGTAACAGAGTTACCCCCGCCTCGGGAAGTTTTATATGTAGCATAAAATTGTGCTTTTTCAAAAGATTGAGGTATGGATTTCAGGACTTTCAGTCAAAAATTATGATCAATGCTCTAGATCTGTAAATGCAACAATAAATTTATTAAAGAAATACTAGTAAAATGAAACACAGAATTTAAAATTATATCATGTTAACATTTGACCTCTAAGTGGACCTTGACCTTGGAGGTAGGGGTGCAGGTGTTGTTCATGACATACCGTCTTATTAATATTACTATTTGTGCCAAGTATTTTCAAAATCCCTTTAACTATGTAGAAGTTATAGATCAGACAAAAATATACCCTATAACAGACGGTCAAACTTTGACCTTTAAGTGTGACCTTGGAGGTAGGGACCCATGTTTTACGCCAATCTTATCATCTTATTATTGTGATTATTTGTGCAAAGTATTTTTAAAATCCCAGGTTATGGACTGGACACAAAATATACCCTATAACAGACTATGTAAATCTTTGACTTCTATGTGTGACCTTGACCTTGGAGGTAGGGACACATGTATGTGTTATGCATGACAAATCATCTTATCATTGTGACTACTTGTGTCTAGTTACTTCAAAATCCTGAAGAAGTTCTAGATCAGACACAAAATATACCCTTAAACAGACTATGTTAACTTTTGACCTCTAAGTGTGACCTTGAACTTGGAGGTAGGGATGCAGGTGTTGCTCAAGACACATTGTCTTATTGTAGTGACTATTTGTGGCAAGTATCTACAAAATCCTTTAATCTATGAAAAAATTTTGTACTGGAGTCACTGGACACAAAATATACCCTGTAAAAGACTATGTTTATCTTTGACCTCCAAGTCAGTGTGACATTGACCTTGGAAGTAGGTGACCGGTTGTTGCGCATGACACATCGTCTCATTATTGTGAACAATTGTGGAAAGTATTTACAAAATCCCTTCGAAGATAAGAGAGTTATGGACTGGACACAACATATACCATCAAATTGACCATGTTGACCTTGAATAAGCAAGTGCGACCTTGTCTCTGGAGGTAGGGGTCTGGTTGATACGCAAGACACATTTTCTTATTATAACTAACATTTGTGCCAAGTTATTTCAGATTCCTCTGTTAAATGAAAAAGTTATGGACCGGATGCAAAATATACCCTGTAATAGACTATGTTAACATTTGACCTCCAAGTGTGACCTTGACCTTGGAGGTAGGTGACCGGTTTTTGTGCATGACACATCGTCTCATTATTGTGAACAATTGTGGCAAGTATTTACAAAACTCCTTCAAAGATAAGAAAGTTATGGACCAGACACAACATATACCATCAAATAGACAATGTTGACCTTGAATGAGCAAGTGTGACCTTGATCTTTGATGTAGGGGTCTGGTTGTTGCGCATCACACATTGTCTTATTATAACAAACATTTGTGCCAAGTTATTTCAGATTCCTTTGATAAATGACAAAGTTATGGACCGCAGGGTTGTCATTAACATTTTTTGCAGAAGGTTTGTTTTGAACATGAGGCAGTCATTTCTGTCTTCATTATGCATAACAAAGAGTGTTTCCTTAATTTTGAGGCGGTCCATAATTCATTTGAGACAGGCATTTTGGCCTCCTGCCGCCTCTTAATGACAACCCTGGGACCGGACATGAAAGTGTGACGGACGGACAGAGGGAGCCTATTACTGTATCGCCTTTTTATCTTCAAAAAGGCGAGGGACAATAATGTTACTGATTTATTCTATTTTTAGACTATCCGAATTTCCGTCTATCCGAATAACAATACACATAAAATACCGTAAAATCTATAATTTAAGTCACTGAAACAATGAAAGTACTACCATTCAATAAAAATGAGGAATAAATGAATATTTCACAGCTTACCACAATGCAATTTTTTCTTTAGGATAATTAATCAGTTCCAAATGGCCAAGAAACCAAGGCAGTGTATGAGCCTTATTTCTCACGAGAATTGCAACAAAAACAGTCGGTAATGACTGCTCTTCTTCGATGTGTTGATGTTCTGAATTGTTTCCATTGCAATGCGTACTTAAAATCGCAACTATTATCACTAAAGAACATATAAATACATAAAATCCGCGAACTAGCAGACACGTAAGCCTTTTTTCGGCCATCTTGGAAACGCTTTCTTCCTCTATTCTAAAGAACTATAAAAACCTAAAGGAAATAAAAACACCAAAAAGTTGTTACAAAAACCATTTTTGACTGGTTTCAAAATTGTTCTTTAATAAAATGGCGAGTTTCAATAATAAAAACAACAAGTTTGCTCCTTTAAAAAGAAACATGCGAGAGGTCTTTTTGCTGCTGTGGTTCGCAAATATTTGGGGATATTTTTTTATAAATTAAAATTATTTAACAAAATAGAATTTATTTAATGTATTGAATACTGTATAGTATCAAAATGAAAGTTTGTTTTACACTTCATTTTTTAGAAATACTTTGAAAGATTATTTGCGGAGAAATTGACATTTTTCTTGGCGAATAAAGGGATACCTGTTCTACAAAGGGAACTTGTATCATAGTTTGAGGACCTTTCTGTTGAAAATGTGTCAGAGTTAAATCATATACATATATATGCACAGTGAACAGGTATCAGTTACCCGCACTCTGGACAGCGCATGCCAATTGATTTGCTCATTTTTGCTGGGGTTTACTATTGTGACGGCAGAGAAAGGGAAAGCGACAGAAAAATCATATCCAGCTGCTCGTTCAATGGTTCCTTTTTTCTGTGGTTTCATATTGTGACAACAGGGAACGTGTTTTATGTTTGACTATGATACAAACGAGATTTCAAGAACATCAAAACACTCGACAAATTGATTAATACTTGGGGGCTACGCCCCTCATACAAATCAGATAGCCTCATGTTTCGATGTTCTTTCTATTACTTAATTTTAAAAAAACCTGATATATTAATATGTAGGTTAAAAGTAGTATCAAAATAAAAGTTTCTTGTAAAATTCAATAAGCAAATTTTCGGTTGATGTTTCGGTAAGTATATGGAAACATTTCTTCTACATTTTCCAAAACGGGCATAATCAAACAATTTTAAGTCCAGGATTTATATAGAAAATGTTTGTATCATTTGATTGGAATAAACAGTATATAAAGCTGCATGCCTCCAACCACAATATTCGATGAAAAACAAACTTGAGTAAAATTTGTGCTATTTGCGCCAAAAAAATCCGTCGCGTTATTTAGTCATTCGAGTTCTAAAATTTAAGGAGCAGCAAATTTTCGGTACACTCGGTCATATAATAGTGCATGGTGATACTGTAACTATAATGTTCACTGTTACTATTTATCGGAACACGAAATAGTAAAACACTTTTCAGAAAACAATACGGTAATTAATCGACTTATACAGTTGAAAATATTAAAACGGTTTGAAACATCCACGTAGCGCTAAGTAACGTAAATGATATTTTCCGATTTTTCTATGTACCGATTTGTTCAAGTGAACTTCGATGTTAATATTTCGTTTAATGTAAGTCGTATTTTGAAACGGAGCATGCGCAAAACAATTTTTGTAAACTGCTCTTGATGATTTTACGCTTTCAATGAGGTTCATTCACTTAAATCAGATACGCAAAAATGGATGCCGCCAGCAATCAGTCTGAACACTGTGGAGAGGTCTGATGACCTCTCCAATAATAATAATGATAGTAATAACAAAAAATAGTAAGGCTGTTGCATTTAAATAATTGGTGAAAGTTACAATCTAAATTTAAAAATTGCTGGTAAATGTCAACGATATTTCAATAAAAAGGGAAAGGGTAGAAATTAAAATAGAAAGAATAGAATCCCTTAAAACTCCCTAAACGGCAAAATTGAAAAGGTTGCAGGTTTTGTTTGATTGAACCAGTTCATTGACAAAAAGTGCAATCTATACGCCCCTTGGCACAGGCTTAAGCAGAATTCAATATTTGAATAAGAAATTTGGCGATATTTTGAATTTTAGAAACACCCGCAGACATTTTCAATCTGAAGTTATAATGGGATCTTCAATTGACACGTTTGAACCTTACGTGAATACAATGGGCGGAACGAATTAAAATGGGAATTTTGAGAAGGTCAGAGGTTATGACGCCTGCATATCACAGTTTAGTCTGGTTCCCTGCCTACATTTATTACGGAAAGTAGAAGTATATGGGGAAAGAACTCCAGACTTATCACAGTTAAGCTGTCTGAAGACAAATTTTAAAAAAGGCAACATATCCTTATGGTGATTAAAAATTATTGAAATAGGAATATTGGAACTTCCCAAAAAGAAATTTAAAATACGAAATAGAACTAAGTAAAAGTACCACAAATATGCACAAACAAGCTTCACATTAATCTTCAAAGAGTTCAAATATCAATTAAGAGGCACGATTTATGCTACTCTAGGATTTCCCATTAAGCCAAAAGCCTAATTCCAAAAAGAAAACTAAAGACACTAAATTACATAATTCATGAATGGTTATCATTAAATGAAATCAAATAATTAAATTTTGGCAAACAATTGTACAACAAGTTAAGTAAAGTCATTTTATATGTTTTTCGCCAACTATTTTGAGATTTCTATTAATTTTAATAAACATTAAATTTTTATGTAATAACATTTACGAAACAAATTAATGTAATTACAGAAATGTAACACTTTGCTAAGATTTGAGCTATAAAATATGGATTTTTGTAGAAAAAAATATTGTATCATCTGCATATAAAATAAACTTGCAACCAGGTGCTAGTCACCATGTCATTAACAGAGGAATAGCAAATAACACAGGATACTGCGTTTAAGGACCCCGTATGAAATAGGAATTAAGTTTGAAATAAATTTACATATACATTGAAAATGTAACCTTTTTAGATCTTAATCTGTAATTCATAACATAAAGCTTACTTTTATTTTTGTGAAAAGATTGGCTATAGCAATTTTCATATTACCTGGAAAACACCTTCTGTTATATATAAATTCACAATGTAAAGGAGATGACCTTTTAACACATTAGAACGGTCGTTTAGGACTCTTGCAGGGATACCATTTAATATACTGCTCTTCTTTTTATACACTAAACAGGGAGTTCTTGTTCTTTACCCTATATTCGTCAAGAAATTACCAAAATGGCTTACAACCAGGATATTGACAAGGTTCACCGTTGAACGACGTAACAATATTTGGTCTTTCTTTTTTCTTATTGTGGTCAAGAGATTTGATATTCTGTCAGGTCTTAGAATCACTTTGATGTCTAACTTATATCTGTCACAAGAAAAGTTCAGATTTTGCCAGTCCTGTAGACCCTTGAGCTTCATTACGAAGTTTATAGAACACAGTCTTGCAAAAATTACTGCGATGTTTTTATACCTTGCATTTACTTTATCGCGCCCGTGTATCAAATATAGAGTTTTTGAATCTATGAAAAGTTTTGTTCGAAGTGCAAAGATTTGGCTTACTTGGGATCAATTATATTCTGTGAAGTCTGGAATATTGAGTACTTTCTTCTGTACATGCTGTTTAGAGTTATATAGTGAAAGAAATCAAACAACTTGAACAACAACATTTAATCAACAAGAATACGTAAATTGCAATCAAAAATTAAAGCTGTCAGCTTGTTTTTAACATGCAATTTGTAAAATTTTCTTCATGGTTATGCAGTACTAAGCGGTCCGATAAATACAATAATAGTGTCACTCTGTTTTATTTTTGGGACCAATGCCACTTTCCTGAATATAATATACATGTAATTTTTGTTACAAGAAGGAACACATTTATATAAGGTATAATATCATTAATTAGTACCTAAAATTTACCTTACTAGCTTTTGTAAGTAATGCACTTAAAATATGCTGTTACTGGGCAAAAATGAAGATTAATTGCTGTAAAATAGAGAGAAATAACGAATCCATAAAGAAATCCCAACAAGACAAAATTGAAAATGTTGCAGGCTCGGTGTGATTGAGCCTGTTAATAGACGATAATGGAAAGTGCAAGCTACCGTCCAGAAGCAGAATTCAACGTTTAATCATGGTAATGCAAAGTTTGTAAACAGTCAAATACTGACGAGGCGATAATTTTCTGTGAAGATTTCCTCTGTGTACCTGAGGCAAGCAAATCTTTAAATAATCGAACAGAATCTTGGTTTTTTCTCTAGAGCAATCTCCTCTCGTCTTCGTAAAATAAATAAATGGATCATGTTTTTTCCGTCAACAACAACTATTTCTGATGTGTTGCTTTCTATTGCAATACACTGTGGTTCGAACAATTCGTACTGAAATGATTGCAGTCGTCCATTAAACCTACCACCACTTACTAGCACGTCAATAGAACAAGTATATCCCCGAGCTACCATTAAGTAACCGTTGAAAAGGGCCAAAGACCCAGCACCATAAACAAACCTTTCCCAGTTAAGCCGTCCATCAAGGCGGAAACATTTTACAAGTCCCGCCTCCTCGTCACATACGTACGCCAATCGCGTTATCGGACATACTGCTAGCTGTCTTGGTGATTTGAAATCGAAGCGGCCACCCATTAATTTGATCTTTTCACCGAATACACCAATGGCTTTTATAAAACAAATTTCATACTTTTCATTGTGCTCATCACACAAAAGAACCGTTAAGATGTCATCAAATGTGCATATGCCGTAGCATTTTGTTGTAAGATACAAAGGACCTTCTTGACTCTGTTCCTTTAAATAATACATTTGTATGCACCGTTCCTCCGGAACTGTCATGTATAAAGTTGAACCTAAAACAGCAATATCATATATGCCCATCTCCTTAAAACACGAAACTAAAGTCATTTCTTTGTTGTATATTTGTATTTCGCGAAAACCTGAAATGGCGGGAAAGAACAACTAATTAGTTGTAATCACATTAGTCGCTTTTTTTTCATTGGTTAATATGTTTTCATAAAAAACAAAACAAAAAATTCGGTTCACTTTATCCGTGCTATAATGACATTGTATTTTGGTAAAAGTACTGTGTATGCAGGACACATGGGCAGCATATGATATGTTGCACATTTCGCTGTCTCTAATGGACATTCACATTTAAAACTCAACAAGTGAATTTGAATTATTAATTATCATTATTGTCAAAGCTCTCGAAGAATCACCCGTTTTCAGAATGAACTTCATTTTCTCTTAATTTAGTTACCCTTTAAGCTGAAAGAATGTATGGTAAGAAACTTGTTACGAAATAATTATTTTGAAACCTGCTCGCGTCTACTTTGATAATTTTGACAAGTTTTTTTTTTTTGGTTCTCTTAAAGATTTATTTACCGTTACGAAGAAGTAACTACCTTTTCATTATCGTTAATACATTGCATTATACGAGTAAGTAAAGCCTTTCAGACAAACAAAATACAATAAAATCAACAGTATCACGACTAGAACAAAGTAAAATTTATCACGACTAGAACAATCGAAAAATCTATCTATCTATTCAGAAAATATCAAAACATTTAGCATACCCTCATCATAAACGATTACTGAATCTTCATAGAACGTTACTGCGCTTATTTTGCTAATATGAATGCCTTCTGATTCGTCTTTAATGAGTCTACCATCAGCTGTCTCTCTATTGTAAATATTGTCTTGGGTGCTTTCAGCGTCAGGTACGAATTCAAAAACGTAACGTTTTCCGAGTCGTTTATACGGATTTAAGCCCCTATTCACAAGGTAAGATTTTGGAAAGGTAGAAATCTTCCATTTTACAAACCAATTGTCTTCTTCAAGACGTTCTGAAATTCATTGAATGTTACTTTGTCAATCGTCTATACGTGCTAGAAATCTTATGGTTTTATAGACATCAACATTAGGAATAAGACATGTTTCATTTTAAAACAAGACTGCATATATTCATTAAAGTAAGATCTGATAACAGCGGTGGGCAAGATGTTGTGCGCTTCGTTTTTTTTTTCTCAAACTAAAACCTGAATCTGAGATATTGAACATGTGAGTCCTGTTAGTGTTCCCTTTTTCAGAAATTTCATATTTTTTCTCAGAAACTATTCCATTCATTAGCCTAATATGAAAATCTGGAAGAAAGGTCAACCCTCAGAAGAATTAATGACAACAAAATTAAATTGTACATAAAAATTACAGACTCGGTTTGAAAGAGTCTGTACACGAGTACATGAATATGAAAATATAGCCATGAATATAAAATGTGATCCCTCAGAAGCATTGATCACAACAAAATTACACGAAAATTGCATATTCGGTTTGATTGAGGCTGTACTTAAGGGATAATGAAAAAGTGCAACAAGTGTAGCCATTTTTATACAGCTTGAATTTTTTTCGTATTAGACAGTGTGCTAATTATTAGTATACATACAAAATTTCTACTTCTTGCTTCTGCTTATGCTGTATTTAATATAAAGCATATTGTTATGCACAAAATTTTAAAATATTGCACGTTTGATCGTTCAGATAATTATAGCCAATCATCTAAGCCTTGTGATCTTCGTATTAATATTACTGAGCATTACTGAACGTCTGAACCAAGTTGAATTAAATATACGTGAGATATTAACATACTCTTGAATGTAATGTTTAAAAACAGCTTCCTAAATAGATATACATTTACATCAACGAGAATACTGTATGCGGAAATGTAAGAGATAAAATATATTATTTAATATAATGTTTACTAAAATGGTGAAACTTTATCAAGAAAAGAAGATTTACCTGGTTTAGCATCAGAATAGCTATAATTGTTAGAATTTTGTACATAATGCTGAAACCGGAAATCATCGGGTAAGTTGTCTGCCCATTCATTACGCGGAATTGAATAATTTGGTACCTTCAGAAATAAGAATAAACAATAGATTATTATTATTATTATTATTATTATTATTATTATTATTATTATTATTATTATTATTTAGCGAAGTTAATTCTTCGCGAATGTTTTATTTTAATTACCTGTATGTACAGTCTAAAATGACTTTTTACAATAATAGTAATTGTTATAACGAAAAAAACACACGTTGATAATGAAAATAATATTATCAGCTTCACTGATGGTATGCATTGTAATCTTTAAATGTTTTAAATGCTATGTTTAAGGACCATGTGTGACATTTTCATCCCAGACCGTTTACTTTAAATTTATGACAGTAGATATTTTTTTAATTTATGACAGTAGATATTTTTAAAACTTCCAATTTATTTTGCACGGGCTGTAATTAATAGACTGTACCTTAGTGAAGTAACCACAAACAGCACACGCAAAGCCTCTGTCATCATACCGAGTACTTGGTGGTGTTTTATCAATTATGTATTGCAAACATATTTTACAATATGTGTGCTTGCATCCAAGAAGTACGGGTTCATCGTGCACGTCTAAACAGATAGGACAATTATCCACCTCCCACGAGTAATCCAACTCTATCGGGGTTTTAGACTGTAAATGGCGAAAATCGTCGCTGAGATTAGTAGCTTTGATATACCTAAATTTATGCTCTCCTGTGCTCATGGTTTATTCCAAAACTTTAAGTGACGTTTAAGTGAAAATTAAATCATTCATTTTAATATCTCCGATAAAAAAGTATACATAGAAGGAAAACTATAAATGTGGAGCAGATTTATGTATAAAATACTTTGTAAGGTAACCTTATCTTTTCATTGTTTTATTCTAGGTCGCTTATCCATAATTTAAAATCATAATGCCGTTAAGTCACGCATTATCAATTTTCGATCAACATTTGAACATGAAATGATATTTAATTACCTAGTTTAGTCGGTATATGTTGTAAAGCGACTCCCCTTCAAGTCCTGGATTTTCTCCCTATCTAAAATTAATCATTTGCACAGAATAAGTAAAATTATCATATATTCAACAGTGATTAGATTTACACTTGGTGAATATGTTAATAAATTGCCATTAAAATGTCATACTTCTTTAATTACTTTAAGTAAATAAGTTTTTTTTTTTTGTTTTCTTACGTACTTTATTTTATTTCCTTTATTTGTTAGATTTTTTTCTCTTTTTAATATTTTGTCAACAGAAGTATGTTAAATTTAGATATGGTAAATATGGGCTAATGACTCTGTTTTTGAACAGTAAGCATTTGCACGACGCTTTTGTTTGCATTTCTGAAATTCTACTTGTCACAGTTTTTCTTTCAAGTGAACACCTATGTAACACCTATACCTTTTTTATATGCTAAATTTACATTTCTCAAATTATTTTCATGTTATTTTATATTATAATGTGTTCCATCATATATTTCAATATGGTAATGAAATATTCTTTATCGCCGAAAATGTACACATTACATGAAAGATAACTTAAGTATTTTTATTTCTGAAATATCTTTTGAATCATAATAAAAATTGCACAAATGTACATCAACTGCATCAGATTAAATTGAATTTTTAAAGACAATTAAAGTAAATTTCAAAATGAAAAGTGATAGATAAAAAAACGTAAATGAGTATTTGGCAAACAGTATGTATCCTCGAGTGACCAGTTTCAACGCCCTTAAGGATTGTTTTGTATGCGTCTATAAAAACCATGTGATTGTATTGTATAAAATGTGTAAACTTTTTAAAAAATCTCTAACCTTTATGAAATGGGTAAATTTAAGCTGTTTTCCAGCTATTCCTTTTCATGAACAATCCTACTTTCACTTCATATGGGAGCGGCCATTTTTATTGAGAGTGTCCTATAACGACGCCATTGATTTGCTAATTTAATTACACACTACAGGAGACTGTACACCATAATACTTTTACTTACGTTGTTCACCAATATCAAGAGCTTAGACTTGCAAAGTATCAATACGTGAAAAATAGTTTATCTATTCTTTATTTCTTTCATAAATAAAGCATTATTATATGTGGTAAATGCTATTGTTGTATTTTTTTCAGTGGTTTGGATGGTTGCCCTAGTCTGTTCGACCTCCTATGTTGAAAAATATAGGTTGGACAATAGCACCTTTAGTTTCTTTGTCGAACCTGCAAAAACAAAATAATACATTTAGTGGAGCAACTAATTAAAATATGGCATTTCATTCCATCCAAATAAGATAAACATATCCAATTAATTTTCAATTAGCATTCATTCATCGATTAATAACCGTAAAAAATCTACAACATGTACAGGTTGCTTTAGGGTGAAAAAATGCGCCAAAGACAACACTATTGGGTAATTTTACTGTAACGTGACCTCAGAATTAGGAAATGAGGTCAGCAGACAGGGAGGTATTTTCCAGCCCATTTTTTCAAAGAAAACATGACATAGTAAAGTGATGGTCAAATTTGCATTAGTGAAATCATACAAAAATCTCTTAAATAAGGTTTAACATGCTAAATCTTACCTTTGGGTGTCTTACTTACTACATATTGTTACCTAACCAACCAGAGCAATCCCCTTTTGCTATAGCGTAGTACAGTAATGACGTAAGCGGCCGCTTATATCAATTATGAGGCAAAATATAAATGGCGTCGAAATAGGGCAGCGTAAAAACGGATCACTCGACGAGATAAATTAAAAATTGTAGTGAGAACAAATAAAGAAACTGGGGTATTATGAAACGAAGTAACCGCTTTAAATACCACATTTATCTCCATATTATTTCAAGTAATAACGTTTTATACTTGTAAATGCTTGATGATACAAAAGCTAATATGTCTTTATATTTTTAAAGTAAAATAAGGGTGTTAGATGTAACGTACATACACTTCAGTAATAGATGCTGTGTAGTTATCTCTTTTTAAGAATGTCTGTAATTTGCTTTTTATGACTTCTGTATTTATGTGTTCTGCATGTGTCTACATATATGTATATATGATATTATGATAAAGAAATATATAAATATATGGAAATATAACTTCAATTAATGATATAATAACATTAAATATATAAAATGGCTATTATATTTTATTGATATGTACCTAAGGTGACATTTTCGACACTTTTTTCCCGTCATTTAATTCGTTTTTTAAAAGTCGCCCCGTACATTCAATCAGAGATGTTATATTTCCGATCCTTAAAGATCGTTCAGCACGATATTATTGTTGTGCTTGTGGTACATGTATTTTAGTTCTTTCTACTTGGCTATTTTCATGTTGGGTAGTTCCAGTATTCCTCACTTGAATACTGTTGAATCACCCTTAGGATATGTGGCCTGCTTTTTAAATTTGTCTTTTGACGTCTTATCTGTGATATGCAGGCTTCATAACCTCTGACCCCCTTCAAAATTCTATTTTATTTAGTTCCGCCCATTGATTTTTCGTTCAGGTCACACGCATTATTTTACTTGGGGACCATATGCCGCTTTTCATGGAATGGCACTTACGTGTAACATTGAAGGTTCCATGATAACCGCCTTATGAACACATCTGCGGATGTTTCAAAATTCCAAATTGTACCAGTTCATGTCAAATGTTGAATTCTGCTTATGTATCATATACATAAGTAAAACTAAAGGGGCGGGGGAGGGGCTCCAGATTTTCACTAATCTAATCAATTTAAAAAAGTATATTTCCTTAAAATTTATGTATGGACACTGTGCAATCATAAAATTTTCATAGCGCGTGTTCTATCACGACTGTGGCGGCAACGCTATTGACAGGCGATAATTTTAATTTATATACAATAGTGTTAAGTAATTATAAACTTTGGGAGAAAAAAATTGCTATTTATATTGCAGTTATATGCCTTATATTTAGTCAGGAACTTAGATTCGAGGCCTTCTTTATAAATATTACCAAAACTCTCTGAAACCATAGACAAAATTTAATTTGTTTTTACGAATTATTATTTTGTATTTACGAACTATTATTTCGTAATTACGAAATAATATTTCGTTTTTACGAATTAATAGTTCGTAATTAAGAAATAATATTTCGTAATTACGAAATAATATTTCGTAAAAACGAATCAATATTTTGTAATTACGAATTAATATTTGGATTTAACTCATTACATGATTGGAGCAGTACCTCTAGACGCTTGCAAAATTAATGATCACAAAATAAACAAATATCGTTTTTTTTCCGCCGATTTTTACATTTTCATGCATTTACATACAAAAATCGGTGTGAAAAGATGAATTATACATTTCATAGTTGATTCCGTTGGGTAAAAAGGCAAGATATTCAAGCGCCTTGTCCGGTATATACCGGAATACGGTATTTAGTGTGGTGCTCCAATCCTTTTTTAGTCTCACTCTTAATATTTCGTAAAAACGAATTAATATTTCGTAATGTCGAATTAATATTTCGTCAAAACGAATTAATATTTCGTAAAAACGAATTAACATTTCGTAATTACGAATTAATATTTCGTAATTACGAATTAATATTTAGTAATTATGGATTATTATTTCGTAAAAACGAATTAAGTTCGGGGGGAAAAAAGTGTGGAAAATGTCACCTTGGTGGCTCCGTAGATATGCGATATTGACTATACATATATAAAATGTTTTCTACTGTTTTATTCATTAAAAAGAACTATTATTTGAATGGTTATAAATACGTCACTGTAACAACCGGAACAGGGAAAAATATACATAAAAATATACATAAAACAGGAGAATGAGCGGCAATTATATTTTACCCATAAAATAAAATAAAGATATGACTAGATTCTCAAAATTAACCTGAATTAATGTTTCAATAACAAAATTTCTAGGACAGTTTTATGTTTGAATTATTTCTTTACAAAATAAAGCAATGTGAGTTATTTTTACTATTCATAAGATCTTCAAATTTTAATGCATTAGAATACCTATAATAATACGGTTTAGTAAATCTATGTCTAAGTACTATCAACAAAATGTAAACAATAAGAGACATAGTTCTTATAAGAACTTATCACACACCCGTGTCGATTTTGCGACTCCGCAAATATGGTATGGCCGTGCATATATTTTGAAGTGACGTCATTAGTGTTATATACAAACATAGTGTAGAAACGCGCTAAATGTTAGCGTTATACTATAGGCGCGTCAATGAAAAATGACTCTTATTTCACTTTAAACGGTCTTTATTTTGGGTATGTGATAAATAGAGGATAATGAATGAGTGTAAGTTCAATACTGAATTTATTGCACTCGTTGAATTAAATAATATTATGCTCGCCAGAGGCTCGCATAATATAATTTTATTCAACTCGTGCAATAAATTCAGTATTGATCTTACACTCATTCAATATATACTCTAACTCTGTATTATCGGCGCAACTCTATTACCGACGTACTCTCAGTATTTTGTCATATGCGGTCATGCATACATTGAAATTAAAAATCTTTGACCGCATTCAATAAAAAATGTAATGATTAATTGAATTTGTACTGCTTTACACAGAATATTGATTATTAAATTAATCAATGAAATTCAATGCAGACATACAGGAAAAGTTAAGTACGCCGATAATACGGAGTCATGCTATGACATAAAATATAAAATTGTGGAAATGTAACAACCGGAAAAATATACTTAAAACAGGAGAATGAGTGGAAATTATATTGTAACAATAAAATAAAACTAATGATACAACATTATACTTATTAAGCACCAATGATCTTCTTGTTGGTGTTTTTCAATCTTACGGCTACTATATATTGACATCAGTCTGATTTCCATTAACCGGAAGCATGTGCTCCCCAGTCTTTCTTTTCTTCCGGTCGTGTACGAAACAGTTCGTAAATTTGTTATTTGTACTAAATCGAAGATATTTACCAGATTATTCACATGATACGCATTTGTGTCACTTGACATTTGATAAAATTTGATAGAGGCACTTGTCGATACAGTTTCTTACTTAAATTTCAACCAACTCGTTCGGATTTAAAACTTTATTGTTAAAATCCCGACAATTTATTTCGTACACCGGCTTATTCTGTCACTCCAAAATCATTAACGTTGTTGTTGTTTGTTTTTTTTTTTAAGTGGGGCATATTATCCGTATGATCTGCAAACT